GAAGAGTGAAAAAAATGAAAAAAAAACGCAAAAAAGAAAAGATCAAGTCAAGTAGATGAGTAGTAGTCAAGATGAGGAGGAATGTGGAACAACTGAACATTGCAAATATACAATGTAGTTGCTCTGTTATTAAAGGTCTTTCACAAGTAAAGGTCTTTTTTAAAGGAATCAGATATCATAATACGTCCATTTGCAATTGTTACTAGAGCATGTAAAAACATGAAAGCCTAAGTCATTAGGTATTGGCATGTACACCGGTTGATTAGAGTCTCATTGTATATATAGGCTACTTTCAAAGCAAACCTACGCTTTTGAATGGAAATCGAATGCAAGGCGCATCCAAAAATGAAGCTGTTCAACTCCATAAAGTTTCATCGTTAATCACTGATATTCATAACTGTTTTCATTTGATAACTGAAGTCAACGATACCGTGTAAGATAATAATAATGAGTTGATAATATGAGTTCAATAGCCCTTGGCTTCTGCATGTAGCGAGGACCTTTGTTTCGAGGTTTCCAGGAAAGTTTTGACTGAACTGTCTCAACTCCAACACTTATCGCCTTCCATTGATATGAAAAGAAAAAATTTCCTGACATCTTGCGACATTTCAAAATTTTTATAATCCCTCATGTAATATAAACCTTCAACATACTCAGGTTTCCCTTTCTGCCCAAGAATTTGTCAATCATATGAACAGCATCAAAAACAGAGACGAATTAGATCTTCGAAGACCACTACAGGTAAGCTTACCACATTCGACCAATGTCTAGTCGGGTAATTTTTTGAATTTCAGAATCTGTTTATTTACTCATCAGATTATCGATAAGACGATTATTGTTAAGGGCACAGTTCACGCCATTTTGAGCTTTCCAATTATAGACGATTAGTGGAAGTGACAGTGAAATACAGTGAAAAACCCGTGGTGATAACGCGGAAATCGTCGTATTAGGAGAAATATAAGGCTTCAAAGAAGTAATAAAATTAAAGGTTGGGTGGGAATGTAAGGGGTAATTGTTTGAGTTTTCAAATGCGTATACGTTCAACTGGGAGACGGGCAGTAGGATCGGTTTTGTGCAATCGATTCGCCGCACGCGGCTGTC